GGTCGCTTACGATTACGTTGCATGTTTATGCAGTAAAAAATGTTAAAAAAAAAATGTTCGCGCCGCTCGCTAGCCATACCCCCCCAGCCACGGTTCGTTCTCATCTCCCCTCGGCTTAAAGGCACAGTGCTCCTAAAATTCCCCCGGCACGCTGAGCGGGTGCGGGTCTCTGCCTGGGCCGGGGTCCCCAGCTCAGGGGGTCTGGTGTTTAGCATTATAATGAGGGTAGTTCCATTAATTCCAGGAATTGTCAGTTCTGCTGCCAAGTCTGCAGCACACATAAAACATTCTGATTAATGGAGCACCTCTCCTATGAGGACAGGCTGAGGGAGCTCGGGCTGTTCAGCCTGGAGAAGAGCAGGCTCCGGGGTGACCTTAAAGGATGGAGAGGGGCTTTCACAAGGGTGTGTAGTGACAGAACGAGGGGGAACGGCTCTAAGCTAAAAGAGGGCAGATTTAGATTAGATATTAGGAACAAATTCTTCACCACGAGGGTGGTGAGGCCCTGGCCCAGGTTGCCCAGAGAAGCTGTGGCTGCCCCCTCCCTGGCAGTGTTCAAGGCCAGGTTGGATGGAGCTCTGAGCAACCTGGTCTGGTGGAAGATGTCCCTGCCCATGGCAGGGGGGTTGGAACCAGATGATCTTTGGTCCCTTCCAACCCAAACTGTTCTGTGATTCTATGATTAACCGCCCTCAAGGTCCAGTTGCTGCAGTGTGTTCTCGGTTGAAGCTACCAAGCGTTTGTTCTTCTGACTGGAGATGACTTCATGCCCCCCACTCCTCAGCAATCTCTGTGCTTGAACAAGTCTGTAACCATCAGGTGCTCCTTACCTGGAACACTGCCTGCTAGTTAGATTAGATACTTCTTCATGAGTGAGTAACTACCCTTAAATTATCACCTTATTCTTAACTGTTAGTTCACGTGATTAAAATACATCTACATGTACGTCAGCAAGGTAACAGGCGGACTCTTCCCGGCAGGCACAAGCGTCAGTGAGCACACTGCAGTGAAACACAAGACCAGACCTTTTTCAGGGGCTGGGGGAGGCTGCCGGGGGGACTGCAGGGTCTCTGACCCCCCCGAGCGCAGGGCTGCCCCAGGGGACCCCCCTCAGCCTCGCTGCTCTCCCATCCCGCAGGGAAGGATGTCTGCTCCTGCCCCTGCTGCTGTCCCCGCTGCTGTCCCCGCTCCTGTCCCTCCACCCAGGTCCTTGCGGTGGCAGAGCGCACGGCAGAAAGTGTTCCTGGAGGGTCTCTGTGCCCTCCCCGCTCGGGTGGAGGGGTTGTGTCCCGGGGGGGGGATGCTCAGAGGGGTCTGTGACCTGCCGCGCACCTCCTTCCCCAAACCCCCTGGGCTTGGTGTGCGATGCGGACCGGGGTGCCCTGCAGCCATGTCCGCTGGACACGAGGCGAGTCACCCCCCGGGCACCACCGCTGGACCCAGCCATGGCTGCGGGACCCGCACCCCAGGGGTGATGGCAGCCCCATGGTGACTCCAGCAAGGGGGCCAGGGGATGGAGCCCGCTTGCTGGGGGACCCTGGCCAGGCAGGTCCTGGGGAGCGCTGGCAAGCACAGACCCTCTGCCCCAGATCCCTGCCGGGAGGTTGTCCCTCTGACAGGGGCAATGGCAGACATGACCTGGGGAGGGCCAGGTCCCACCGGGATCCAGCCCTGGGCATGGCTCTGGAGCGGGCGTGTGGGAACCCGGGGGCTCTGCGCAGCCGCTCCCACGGGCAGCGTCAAGGGGCCCCAGGGCACCCTGATCCCGTTTGTCCTGATTCCTGGGGAGGGAGGTGCAGAGGCCTGAATGGTGGATCAGCCAGGCGATTTTCCAGCCCGGAGTGTCCACCAAGAGCTCTTCTCGGCCGAGGGCTGAGGATGAATCCTCGGCGCACGTGCCACGTGCGAGGCAGGACGCGCGTCATGACCGTCACCGGGTTAATGGCTGGCATCCCGCTCTGCCTGCCAGTGTGCCGCCGGCACCCCCCGGCCACGCACCCCGTCCGGCGCGCGGCACCCCCGCG